GGCCCTGCCGCGCGCTCCCGGCGCGGTTCCGCGAGGCCGCCGCAGGAGTCGGAGCGGCGCGGCTGCGCGGCCCGGGCTCCGAGGGTGGTGCCTTTCCAGCGACGCCGGTCGCAGTTTTGAGGCCGACCTCAGAAGGTCGGGAACAGCCGGGGACGGCGAGGCGGTGCAGAGCCTCAGGACCCGCGGGCTCAGCCGGGCGGCCCCGCAGGAAGGACAGCGGCGCCCGAAATGCTGTCACCGCGCTTTGCGAACACTGCTTTGTGGAGGAGAAAACGTGGGGCCGCTCCTGTAAATACACCGGACTCCAGCTTCTGCGCTGGGGGTGGGAGTGCAGAGACCACCGCTTAGACGGTAGATGTTAGGATTTACCGAAACTGCCCCTAGGACTGAGGCGCTTCCACTCAGGTCACCTTCCTGCTCCCAGGTGCGGAGCTCCCCGAGCCCGAGAGGGCCCTCGGGGACAGGGTGAGAATATCTTGGAACCCTCTAGTCTTGCCTCCAAGGCGTGGTGGACTTATTTGTGCGGAGAAGAAACGGATCCCTTAATGGGGTGAGATTTTTCCTCCATGCATTGTTCCCATTTCCGCAGTTTTACTTGGCCTCGGTGTTCTTCCAGAGTAATGCACCAAATAAAATTAGCTGGAGAGCGTTTGATGGCACAGAATCATGGTTTGAAGATGTTTACGCCCTAAGCCGGACGCGTTTGAAGGCGTTCTTGTCGGCACAATTAATTTTGCAAAGTTCAGAAATGTGCCAGATAGAGCCCCTGGCAGGCTGCGCCTCGAGCTTTGCAGACACACCTTCAGTAGGAGCCTGCTTGTTTGTTTCATCTGTGATTTTTTTCATGCACCAGCACCAAGGCCAATGTGTTTTTTAGAGACCCTTGGATGAGATTCCAAAGCAATTTGTAAATTAGCAAAATGAAGGTTATTTCCTAAAATAACTTTTCTTTGTTAATAATGGAATTCTAAAGTGGGCAACAGAACACCCGAAAGTACATACACTGATTGAAAAGTCGATTCCGTATACGAAAATACGTTTCATAGGAAAATATCCCTGCTGGTTTCCTAGTGCCCATCTCCACCCATGTGCATATTTTCAATACTAAATGCTTTGTGTTATCCCCAAGACATTGTTTGGAAAGCATGCTTCTATTATGTGTACTTGAAATCGCATTTAAGTTGTGCAACACTATTTTTTGTGTATTCCCATTTTTGTGTCCTTAGAGGATTTGGAAATTTATCATTATTCATATTGGAGAATCCTGCAACTGTCTTTTCCATTAGGCACACTACCTAAAGGCCCACAGTACATTTAGGGCCCACAAAAATATTCTAATTTCTTTCAAATCAAAAGAAAGAAAGAACATTTAGATTTAAGAAGTGTTTATATTAATTTATTTGTCTTTGTAGCAATCCAAACTGAAAATATAATTTTTTAAAAATTTTTATGTTGAAAGGGACTCACAAATGTCTAGGGCCCAAGAAAAGCATGAGGTAGCCCTGTTGCCTGGAAGAATACTTTCCGTGGAAAAACTTTAGCCCCAGGCAACAGGACTGCATCATGATTTTTCACAGTATATAAAATGCTGTGGCCTTGTTCTATGTATACTTACTATTTTTATCCAACACACCCGTGAAATAGGTGCTGTTTTACACCTACAGGCTGATATACATTTTGTGGGGGCAGAAATTTATGCACTTTGAGTGGTGCCATTAAAGAAAAAAAAACAAATACAGCCCACTCCAAACTGCTCCAGCACCACCAAAGGAAGGAGACTTTGGTCTCAGCTGACAGTGACTAAAATGTCTTAGTTTTGCAAATCATACAAAAACACAACCATGTGAATGTATTGCTAAAGCTTTGGGCAGGGGCCTAGGAAGATGCCTGTGCTTTATGAGCTTCACAGAAATCCTGCCTCCAATGTACATCTGTTTTACAGATAAGAAACAGGAATTTGTCAGTTTCTGAGGACCAACCACCATTTTACCCACACAACACTGAAGAATGTACTGAACAGTTGCAGTATACATTTTCATTAGAAATAATAGATTTTTTCCACCAAATAATGTATTTGCCTTCCATAAAGCAAGGGCTTTAAAAATACATTAGCAGTATTTTTGGTTATGACTAGGCAATAACCCAGTTTGGAACATGTGATAAGATTCTGCTGTCAAGAGTAAATTTTTTATCTATTGTATAAATATATGAATTAACCAGTATGGATTCTTAAAGTAATTTAAAGAAACTTCAACTGTATTTCAAGTGCCATGGATTTACACCATTTTTAATTTACTGTGTCACAGAACAGTCTATGTTGTAAATACTATTTTATATATTTACTATTCACAATATCATGAAATGTTGCAAAATAAGTATCAGAATAAGTATTTGTTTTGTCTGATGCTTATACCTTGTAATACAAAGAGCCTGACAATAGCACCTCTTTATAAATGTTTGTGAAACAAAATAATGAAATAGAAAAAAAATCACAAAAGTAGAAATAAAAAGGTAGGTTATGTAACAAGTTGAAATCGAATGAGAATAAAGCACCAAAATACTGAACTGTAAATAATTGCTGGGTAAGCAGAATTGGCTCTTTTTTAATTATTTTATGTTCCAGATTTGTGCTAGTCTTCCTAGCTGTTGCTCTGCTCCTTGCTTTTCTGTTTTGTTCATTTCTTTTTCTTTGTTTTTATTTATTATTTTTTTAAGAAAACATAAAATTTTATGTAAATCATAATATTGACTCCAACATGAAAGCAAAATAGGCAAAATTATGTACTTAATATTTCACACATACTATATCATGTTACATACATGGCATAAACATGTTTAGAAGTCTATTCTATGTACATATATATCCCTTTTTGTACATATATATCTTAATATAAATGTAATATCAAACTTCCAAATATATTTTGTTAAACAGAATATGGAGTCTATAAACAATTTAAATCAAAGCCAGTGGGAAAACCCAACAATAAAGAAAAACTCAAAAATGGGGCATTTTAAAGTTTTTTTTTTAATTGTTGAGTTTTCCCACTGGGGAATGGGGAAAAAAATAAGAACCAAGATGGGTTATGTAAAGGTGCAAATTTCCAATGATGAATGTCGTTATATTGTATACCTTAAATGTACCAATAAAGTTAATTTTAAAAAATTTAAAAATTTTATTTTTTAGTGGCCTATACCTCCCTATTTTAAAAACAAAATAAAAACTACGTAACTACTACCCCAACTTGAAAGTGAAAAATATCTTTCAATTCACTTTGTTTAATTAAAAGACACTATGTATTAAGCTCAAAGACACTGGCTTACACAAAATATATTAAGTCAATATTTTTTACAATAAAGACTACATATACATAGTTCAGATATTTACAAGTAATTTATTGAAAACACAAAATATACTTGAGGATATCTCCATCTGTGAGTGTATTTACTGGAAATTTTATGAAGAAATATTGACATCAAACTTTTCATATTATTTCTACAGCTCTCTACTACATGAGTAATTCTACCGGATTTTCAAAATAGTCTTATATATATGTAAGGATTCTACTTAGTGTGACTTCATTCATGTATTTGACAGTAAGTGTGTATACTGAATGCTTTCCCATGTTGCTTACATACATATGGCTTTTCCCGGAATAACCTCATTTTTACATTTGACACTGTGTCAGCTGAATTTTTCCCCACATTTCCTACATACGTAGTTACTCCCCAGTGTGAGTTCTTTTATCTCTACAAAATGGACAGCACGTAGCAAATCTTTTCCCACACTGCCTACGTGCACAGGGTTTGTCCTCAGTGTGCCTTCTTTCATGTATTTTACAATATTTGTGTCTAGTGAATGCTTTCCCACATTGCTTACATACATAGGGTTTTTCACCTGTGTGAGTTCTTCACTGTATTCAATAATATTTTTATGCAGTGAATGCTTTCCCATATTGCTTGCACACATAAGGTTTCTACCCAGTGTGAATTCTCTCATGTATTTTACAATAATGTATTTTATTTTATAATAATGTATTTTATTATTTTACAATAATGTATTTTATTTTATAATAATGTATTTTATTATTTTACAATAATGTATTTTACAATAATGAATGCTTTCCCACATTGCTTACATGTGTATGGTTTCTCCCCTGTGTGCTTTCTTTTATGCATTTTATAATAACTCTATGTAGTGAATGTTTTCCCACATTGGTTACATATTTAGGGTTTCTCTGCCATGTGATTTCTTTCATGTATTTTACAATAACTGTGTGATGAATGCTTTCCCATATTGCTTTCCATACATAGGGTTTCTCTGCAAGGTGGATCCTTTTATGTCTGTGAAAAGAATTACTATAAACTAATGCTTTCACACATTCGTATGTTCTGTGGTTTCTTTTACAGATTTGAACACCATTGGTTGTGCTAGGGCTTTCACACTTTTCTTAACCTATGAATAGTTTTCCTCCAAGGTAAGTTGTTTGAGATCAGAGTAGGCTTTCCCACATTGCATATGTAACAGTGTGTGTGTAAGCAATGTGGGAAAGTATTCATCACACAGAGTTTGTAAAATACATGAACTCACACTGCAGAGAATGCCTATGTATATAAGCAATGTGGGAAAGCATTCACGTCACAGTTATGTAAAGTATGTGAAAAAAGGCACATGGGGGAGAAACCATATGCCTGTAAGCAATGTGGGAAAACATTCATTACACAGAATTATTGTAAAATATTGATAGGGTTTCTCTCTGGTCTTTGTCTTCACATGGTTTTGAAAGGACTGCAAATCACTGCAGGTTTTTTTATGTTCATTGTATTTATACAGCCTCTCTTCACATCCCAAATACTCATCATT